AAAAAAAAAAAAAAAAAAAAAAAAACAGACATTTCATGTGTTACAACTTTAATCACGAAGCTTTTATTATTAAAAATTAGTTTGATCAAAGCGAACTATTTAATAATACTAGGAAGTATTGATATTTTAAATAAAATGAATATATATAATATAACGTAATAAAACGAATACATACATTTTGAAATTTATCGTAACATAAGTGTGCTTTCGTGATCACACACGTCTTTTATTTTCCCAACGCTCATATCATCACCTTCCAGCACAATTTATCCTCCAAAATAAAGCAAATTATCCTATTTACCAATTGCAATAAACGATCGACTTACGACAAATGTTTTGATTTCACGCGACGATCTACCAGCGAGAATCCTCAACACGTTCAAACATAACTGCATACCATCACGAAATAGTCACAATATAACAAAGAATCGTATCGTACACCGTGTCACCTAACCTCGTTTCCGTCTTGTCACGCTATTTTTCAAAGTTTAGATCGTGCTCTCCAAATGATGCAATTTCTCTAGAACGCGTCCCTATCTTTGAGAATCCACTGATCGAACGAAATTCCGTGAAAGGGAACAAACGACGCTTTCTCGAAACGAAAGAGGATCAGAGCGAGGATAAGAGGAGCTAAAAGGGAGCGGAAGCAGCCCTGGGGTGATTAAAGATAGAGCCTCGAGTCGCGATAGTCTTGAAATTTCGTGTCTCTCAAGGCGAAGCAGTAGAAAACATCAGACACTACTTACGAGGCTAAGAATAAGACGTGCAAGTATCGCTCTTGTTCATTTAATTATAAAAGGAGAACTGATGGAATGTAATGCTGTTAAGAACAATCCTAAATAAAACAAGAATAATTAAAATCCTTTTATAGCTCTTATAAAATTCAAACTTAATAATTACATTTTTGGTAAGCAGGTTATTTTCGTTCGGAATTATTTCATATTAAAATTCTCCTTCCTATTCATAAATTGACATTCAAATCAGAAATTCAACAAAAATGTACTTATCAGATTTTCCTTCTGTTATCTTCATATGTTACCACATAATAATAATAATAATAATATTATACTATATAACTATAAAACGTGAGTATCGATGTTTCTTCTCAAATGTGCTCTAAGAATTAAATATTCAACGGGACACTTGCTCTTATCAGTGTATGAAGTAAAGAAGTTTCACCTCCCAAATGGAAATTATTACGAGGAGGAAAAAATGGGAACGTTTTCCTTACGGTCCTTTTAAAATTCACGGAGAAGCTTTTCTCAGAGATCTTGTTTCTTGATATCTGTCTATGTACCGGAGGAAGATTTCGTCGGAAAGTAAATTCGACAGTGGTGGACGTGGTTGTAGAGGGCTAGGCAGAAGTCGAAGATAAAAGCGAACTTTGAAGTTTCGAAGGTAAACGAGAGTTTTAAAGACGATTTACGTGACGAAAACCGACGGCACATGAAAGTTTATCGTTTCGCCGCCAGCTTCTCGGGAAAATTCGCCATCGAACCGACGGGAACTTCCGCGGCCACTTAAAAATCAAGACGTCTTTCTCTTTTATACTTGCTCTTGCACTTAATGGGAACTTTCGCGACAGTTCGAATTATCGGTACGTTGCAGTGTTCTCGTTATGAAACAATATTTCCTTAGTATGCTTGGGCGAGTTGATTCGATTTTAAGACATTGCCAACTTCATAAGCTTATTAAAAGTGTTCGAACACTTGTGGGAACTTATTCTGAAAATACTGTATGTGTTATGCAGAATATTGTTTATGATATAGAACACAATAGAATTATCGAAGTCTGAAACAAACCCAAAAACGTACATAGAAGCTGTGAGATATTTTTTGCAAACATAACCGTCACAAGAATGAGAAAATTATTTATTGATAATAAATCTTGATATTTAATGGTAGTTCCCCTTAGTATTAATTATATATTTAAGCCAACTATTCATACTGCATATTACTTTTTTATTACGTGTATGCTTGTGATAAACATCTCATATCTTGTGTATATTAGATGTAGAAATGACTTCTTTCAGACAATAAAAACTTCCATTATACGCAAAAATCGAAAAGAATTTGTTTGTACATGTAATAAATTTCCTTCAGATTTTATCATTATAATCGTGATAGTATCCATACAGAAAACAAAGATTAATTTAAAAAATGCTTTATTTACTTATTCTTAAATTTGTACTATCTAATCTGGATGATTTTTCGCTCGAAGAATTTACTAAAGCTGAGAATATTAGAATTTACGAGCGGATATACTTCTCTTGACTTATGACGCGCAACCACGTCTGACCATAAACGCATTACTTCCACTTGCGCTCTGTTCTACTCGCTTTAACATTTTACTACGTTGCTTGTTTCATGCTCGTGTAAATTCGTATACGTGTGTTATCTCTGGTTCATTATTTTATATTTACGTCGTTTTAAATTGTAACAACTGAACTGTCGTTTATTTAACGTTATTCTTTGTTCTGCATTTTCATTAAATGTCTGGTTTGCTTTTAAGCTTATCGTTCACGTTATATAAAATTTTCTTATTCCAAATTCGTTCTTTATACACTTCTGTATATCCTTTCTACTAAGGAGAAGTTTAAAAGTCTCGTCTAAAAAACTAGTCTAGTCTAAAAGATAGTTAGAATCATATTTAATTTTTCAACATTACGATATTATTATTAATTTAATTATTTAAATTGCGGAATTTGATGCGGTTGTAGTATATGTAAAGGCGCAAAAATTCATAGAATACACGAAATGTGCAGAATCAGACACGGTATCCAAAGTAGAATCATTATAATATTTAGTAGAATTTCAATTTAATTATGTTCATAAAACTATAACCATCTACGATATAATAATACTGAATTTCATATTTCCTCATAAGAACACATGAAAGAAATAAAAAGAGCGAAAGAAGGAATTAAAACGAAGAATTAAATGGCCAGGAAAATTTCATTTTCTTTCACTTTTATCGCAGGATACGTTCTACTAGTGACGCTATTTAATATTCAACGCGTTTAATCGGAATTAAACATCCTTACGGAGAAGTATTCCATATAAATAACATATAATGTTGCTTAAAAATTCATTATTATTTTTATCATCGATGTTCGCCTAAGGAATAACGAACGTCATAAGCGAACGATGCAATCATTTTCGATCGTGTCACATCGATATCGTCGTTGGAATTTAATAGCACGTCATAAAAAAAGAAGGGTAACGAGCATCACGATATTAAATTGGCTGAAAGTTTTCTGATAATAGTAAAAAATCGTAATTTCACCGCGGGTATAATATCGATGCGACGTCGTTTCATATAACGTCGAGTTATTCGTTGCTCGGCCATTCAACCCTTCCCGCCCTATTTCTTTTTCCCAGTAGTTATTATTTTAATCGTAGCACGATCAACCTGATAATCTGAAAACCGATAATCGGTATGAAAGTAATGGACGTTGGTCGTATTACTTTCACTTCATTCATCGATCCTTTCATTCGAAATGTTATGAATGAATCATATGCAATTGAAAGGATCAGTAGAAAAGCGATATAAAATACATTTGAATTTTCTAATAGAAGTTTTCTAGCGGAAAGTTTGGTAGAGTTTAGTCAGTACGATTTTATCTGAAATTTTCCATAACAAAGTTTCTCCAAACAATCCAGCGTTTCTATATTATGTGAGGTAGGAAAATCGTAAAACATATTTTTCTGGTATATTTCTGCTTTCAAAGGAAAATGATGTAAATTAGTTGGCACATGGACTATGGCGTTCTAGCTATTAATTATTTTGTTCCACATTTATGAGGAAGTTATTTTTTACTTTTAGTATTTGCGATTTTATTCAGGTCAGCCTTTCAGCTTGTAGAACATGTCTCGCGATACACGCCACTTCCTGTTAACGAGCTGTCGTAACTCAGAGTATTATTAGAATCATCTTGTTTTATGTTTCGCGAAACACGCGTGATTACGCGCTCGATTTTCTACAGTTTCCCTTTTATCGTCCAGTGATTACGTAATGGAAAAAGTTCTTTCGACTATTTCGCATAGAAATTAATGAAAAATCAGCGCATGCAACGAAAATGTTGGGCTACCTAAATATACAAGCGATGAGAAGAGCACCGTTCCAAAATTGTATACGAAACACGTTGGAAATAATTAATGAACGTAATAAAATTGACGCACGCATATGTGATAAAGCAATGAATAGAGAATAATTAATGATACTGCTAAAATTCAGAAATCCCGATTTTATGAATATTTCGATGGAAATATTAAATTTTTCATTACTTTATTATAAACGCCATGAAAATAAAATAACTTGTACTTTCTGTTCTATTTCTGTAATTGCTTTCAAAAGTAATTAAATATATACTTATCGTACGTATTTTAATTTCTTTTTAGCTATCGAATAAATTTCAAACAATTGGTAGTAGTACCTCTACTAAATAAATGAAATTTTTAAGAAAACGCGAATTGTATCGCATGACCTGGAAACTTAGAAATTCTGCGCAATATCTCTCTATAAATTTTCTACTTCTCATCCGTCATATTTAACACCTACTCCTTATAATCTAATCTCTCCCATTTATGGAAGGCTTATTGACGATGATGTATTTTGTGGATCGTTGAAGACAATTAGCTCAACACTTTCAAACAATTTATGGCAGGTATTTATTGTTAGACCGCGTGTGCAATTGAGCAATAACAAGATTAGTAAATTGGAAAATAAATTACTAGCGATTCTTTCTTTTGTTTTATCGTCAATAAGATACTAATGATCGCGATAATCGTGTCTCGTTGCAGTGTTAATAAAATTCCAAAAATCCATAAAACTTTTCTATTATAAAAGTTAAAATATTTTCGCGAGTCGCTGCGCGTTACATTTATCGCATAAGATGCAATGTAGTACTTAAGGAGCTATTTTATATTCTACTGATAATACATCACATACAGCGTCACAGTGTTTTCAGTATGGTGGCGTTGCCTCTGAGTTAAGTAGCTAAAGGATCAGCCTGTGGCTTCTAATAAATTTTAAAGGAACGTTTAGATTAAAGGAGCAAAATATAGAACGAAAGCATTTATTCGTTCGGTGTAGACGGTCATCGAGCAATTTGTTCATAAATTCATTTACAATAATCGAATGTGCATTTTTAGAACATTCTGATGTCCGATTTCCCATTCGATGAGCAATCGTCAAATGGCAAACGAATGTTCTTCGTTTCTTTCATTTTTCTAAATTATTTTATTAAATTTTATTATCATTTAACCGTTTGGTCTAAATGCAGCATAAAAATACCGGAAAAAGTTGGAATTGCGCGGTGATACAGAATATCTGTACTCACACTCAGTGTCGAACAAGATCAGTCTCCTGGCTACCACCCTGGCTTCCAGGGTGTTCGGCCTACTCGGCTTTTGCTGGTTCCCCGAATTCGGGGGTGCCACCGAGATCGGCACGGTC